AGAAGTCTCCTGGCGAAGACGGTATTCATCCAGAATTTCTAATTAGAATGGGACCAAAAGCCAAGAAAACCATGCTGACGCTTTACAACAAAATCTGTGAGACCAGTCTCGTACCTAACCAATGGAAAGTTGCCATAGTAATATCAGTACTAAAAAAGGGCAAAGACCCTAGCAAATGTGCTCACTGGCCCTTGAGACCATCAATGTCAACTATCCTGCAGATCAATGGCTCCAAGTCTTCACTGATGGGTCATACATAGAAAGCCAAGCAAACGTTGGTGCAGGTGTCTATTCTGAACTCTTCTCTTTCTACGCAGCAGTGGGACACAATAGATCCGCTTTCGAAGGAGAAATAAATAAATAAGTTTACCCAAATCATCGTCTTCTGATACCTAATGCGTATATTTATGAATCATGTAGCTTTGAAATTTTTTGATATTGATAAGCAGGGAATCTGAGTTCTTATTGAATACAAACCAGCCTAGAAGGTTTTTGCGTGTACCATTGTTCAGGCAAAGGTCTTGAACTTTTAAATTTAATTATTTTATTTAAACTTTGGTGCAGGGATATTTTTATCACTTGACTTGGATAATGCGCCTCAACATAAAACTAATAATTCCAGGAAAGCTTTAAATTATAAAATGTAATTTGTTTCTGACAATTAATGGCTTTACAAAATCAAATTATATAAATATTTTCTCTCCCAACATGAATACTAGTCACTGCATCATTTGGGCCTCCGTAAAGTAAATCCCACTACTTGTTATTTTAAAATTCGTTTTGATAATAGAAGATAATTGATAAAATTTATTCAATATGTCATGCTCAGACATAGTTTTCACGCATAATAAATAATTCTATTGATTTAAATAGGGTGAAGTTGTTTATTGTTTTAGTATCATGCACATAAATTTTTTAATTCAGCTAATTGTTATTTATCAGCAACCTTGAAGATAACCCATTCAATCGGTAAGTACATTGTGATCTAGTTGTTGCCTGATTTGGTAAGGAGATTATTGGACAAAGTCTTCATTTCATATTTTTGCAGAACATATTTTGCCTTATACTATAATGCAATCGCTTGGAATTCGTCTGCGTCCGTTTATTTTCCAAACCGTCATACCAAAGTGTCCCAAGACGTACTCATATGATCCATTTTATATTGTACGCTAACTGTTACATTGCTTCTAGTTTCCTTTAGAGTCGCAAGCCATCTATTCCACTCTATCCCAAACTTCAATTCTGCTTGAGAGGGTATGATTTCCCGTCATTAGAAAAATATGAAATTTACGTAAACAGAGCACTAAAAAGATGGTCATCATCTGTAGACTCGTAACTTTCTTATATTATCTAACCGCATTCAATCAGATTCCCCCTACCACCTAAAAAAATTTCGTACTCTATATTTCACCCAAATTCTACAAAGGTAAAGACGGAATTTGAATTGAATCGCTACTGTCGAGTTGTCACCGCTGACAATATTAAAACCGTAGACCTTCCAGTGATTTTCGATCTTATTCAACAGAACCTCCCAGAGGGAATTGAACTCAAAGTTGAAGAAGTACGCTGCTCATTTATTCACTTTAATTGTATCTTTCTTAGTTCAATCCGGATTTGGAAGAAGAGCGTTATGTGGCCAATTTGGAAATCGAAACTCTTCAAGATGAACTTACTAAGCTGACGGCTAAGTAAATCTGGTTTCTTATATTGTTTTTGTACATTGTCAAGCCTGCTTAATAAAAAATACCATAATATGTAATGCGGAATTATTTCATTATCAATTTATTAGTCTTTTTTGTTAATTATGAATGAGTTCTTTTTTGAATCTACTCCGAGTTTGTAGAGAAGGCAGGTGACGCATTTATTGGGAAATATTCCTGCTATGTTAATTGCTCGAGGAATTATCGTTTTATATTTTTTGAAGATCCTCTTACAATTAGGAGCAATTCATACAAAACTATTGGAAGATATTCGACTGTTTGGTTACGCCTTATCATCGTTCGCCATTCTGCAGCCCTCAAGTCTACCCAGACAAATGAAAATAGTTTCCCCACAACAAGTCTTATGTCGATAATATTCTGTCGATTATAACACACGAATGCTCAATTACATACGCATTTATTTCCTATGAAGTTACTAGAATGATCAGACTGTACATGAGTTCGTAGAAATGTATATGACTTGTTCCACTACTTCGGCACGACTTTCCCTTTAACATCGATGACATGTTTGTTTCCTCGTTTTGAAATGTCATGAGCGAAGGTCTTCGGAATTGCGCCCACACCGGCCTTTTGCCAACGTTCAGCATCTGTCCTTTCGCGTGCTTCTAACTCCGCCAAGAGTCGGGAATTGGACAGTGCTAAAGAGAGAGAAATGATTGCGATTACCACCATGGATAAAAAACGAAAAGTGCATAGTCTGGGAAATAGTGCCATACATTCTTTGAACCCCTGGACGAAACCAGGCTTTTTCATTTCTTGGGGAGGAGGTGGAGCTCTTTCGGGGAATTGGAGATATTTTCTAACCGGCTTAGTACGCAGAATGAGTGCTTGTGCAATGGATATAGTGTTGCTAAGTGACCAATACCAAAGAAGAGCCTAGAAGAGCAAAAAAATACAAGGAAGGGAATTGGTGGCAATAAGACGCAAGTTACTTACTGAAGGCATATGCATAATCATAAAAAATCCAATAACAGGGAAACACCGCATTGCAATGCGAACACCCGGAGTAACGGTTTGAGTTGAAACATCAACACCGAACTAAAGTACAGAAATAAGAAAACACGTAAACACGAGATTTATACAAGCGTAAAAAATAATTTCATCTAATAGCAAACCTCGAACATAAGAAAAATTGACGTCATGCTGTAAAGCGGAAGGATGTAGTAGGGATCACAGACTGTCAAATCCAAAAACCAGCTCAGACCTCCTGTTTGAAGACTAGTCACAGGTAGCTGTGCCATTCCTCTAAGACCGGTGAACACGGAAAAGAAAACCGGCACCTTGATGTTAAAAAGGAAATCGATATGAGACGTACAGGAAAATACGATCAAGGTTAATCATCTACTTACTTGGACAAGCATAAGTCGCAAACTGTTCAGCGGATTAACATCGTTGTTCTTCATTATATCCTGCATTTCCATAGAGATTTTCATCACTAAATTTGGATTGAATAACGAATGAAATTAAAGCATACTTTCAATGTAATCAGAATTAATCCGAGCCTTCGTCATGCGGCTTTGTAGTGATGTTATTTTTGGCATAACATTAGTGTAAGAAGCAAGCCTCCGACGTTGATCAATAACAAGGGGTATAAGACATAGACGAATAACGACAGTAGCTAAATGAGAAAAAATAACTTTGCAGTAAATTCAAACATATTATTAAAGAATTAAGAGAGATTTTACTTGCTGCAATAGCGGCCCACCATGGCAAACTAAAATTAACATGCAGAGTTTCAAGGAGAGCCTGATACCAACCGGAAGGCCACCAACTATTTAGACCAAGAGATGCAAAAGTCGGTTCACCCAAAGCATTCAGAGAAGGAACAACTTCTCCAACAGAGGGAATTTCTGGTATATCAGGGATTTTGTCTGTAGCACAAGCGGCAAGTAAAGGTGAGAGAGAAAGGTATTTAGAGAACTGTAACGGCTTTTTTTCAGACACGTATGGCGAGTCATTTAGTCTCTTTTGAGAAGCGTAATGCGATGGTATAAAAGAAAGTCTGTTCAACGAAGCACTGTAACAACTCAGTGAACTGCGAAGATGTCGCAAATAGGCCATGAGTTTCAGAGTATTGAAGCCTCGGGTTAAAGAAAATATAAAGTGGGCTAATCAGTAAGGAAAATTCTAATCAAAAGTATATAAAATAAAATTATATGTAAAAGAAATTCGTACATTTACGTAGCCTACGATACTATTTTGGTAATAAAGTATATTTTATTAAAAATTTATTATTTTTATTTTTAATTAAAATATAAAATATTTAAACAATAAGTTTTTTCTTATTTCGTTTGGTCATTAGCAGAATTTGCTTATCGCTCTTAACCCGGATTTTCAGTTGCTCCCTCAGAGTATTTTCGTAATGTTCTTACTAAGTGGCACCGATCATCTTAGTCCAGAACAACTCATTAATCTTAAGGAGCATAAATATTCCTGCCGGGGTTCTTCGATTTCCGAAAAATACTTTCAAGTTTTTTGGACCAGTCTTGTGCCCTACATACCAAAAAATGTCGCCCCAAATACCATTACTCTAATTGGACTTATTTTAAATACACTCAGTGTACTCATTCTCCTCTGCTACAGCCCAGATCTAAAGTCTAATGTAGGTTATTCTTTCATGACTGGCTTATAATTTCCTGAAATAGGTTCCATCATGGGCTCTTGTGACAACCGCCATCTGTGTTTTTATTTACCAAACTCTTGATGCCCTAGACGGTAAACATGCCCGTCAAACGAACACAGTATCCCCGCTCGGGGAGTTATTTGATCACGGCTGTGATGCAGTTGCCTCCGTCTTTGTTCCTCTCTGCCTATGTGTCACCGTAGGTATTGGCACCCATCCTTCCATTGTATTTATTCAATTTTTCACATTCCTCGCGATGTTCTATCTTGCCCATTGGCAGTGTTATATCACTGGTTACTTGGAATTCGGAAAGTAGGCGATTGCTTCTTTCTTGACTAAGCTTTTTAATTATAGAATCGATGTGACTGAAGGACAAATTAGTGTAATGGGACTTCTATTATGGACATCAGTTTTTGGAGTTGAATTCTGGTCATATCGGGTTAGAGATTCGCATTGGCGCTTTGAAAGCCTTGACTTTACTGTCTGTTACCGATTGCGATGTTTGCATTTTAGATTCCTCTAATCGAAATGCCCCTGAAATTTATTCCATTCCTTGTGATTTCTGCGATGGCACTGGTGAACATCAGGAATTTTTTCACGGTTCTTTCGCAAGGAGGAGCGGGTAAAGCAGGAACAACGGTCGCTGTAAGTCCCCTTTTTGAATGCATATTAGCTTTTTTTGCTCCATCTAATTTTGTCTTGCCGCTCTTATTTCCCAATCCTTGTTGTTTTGAGTTTGCTTAAAATTAATCTTTTTGCTAAATAAAATTCTTAATTCAGAGCATAGCTTTGTTCTTATTTGTTAATTCTGTTTCATTTTAATTCTTTCTCTTTTGTGGTTGCCTCTTTTGAGCTCTAAAAGCCTTCCTTATTCACGAAATGTTGACTCCACAGCGTTTTCTCCATCTTTGCTTATATTACTGCCCTCTTCATATTTCTAACCCAATTTACAAACTGTGGCTCTTAACTCCGCATTGTTTCGAGATCGTGGTCAACAATGAAATAAAAATCTGTTGTTTTTACTGGCCAACTACGCATTGAACCCTTTGTTAGTCTTTGAACGTTCATCTCTTGCAAATTCGCAATGCCGTAATGTCAACTTTTTGGCTTTATTCATTTATTGGGGCTTGTTTCGAAGAAAGCCGACTCTCTCTGCTTTATTCAGAGAATGCTCGCCACTCTTGCATCGCCGTTGATTTACTTTTTGCAGCCCGGTACATTCTCGGTGTGTTATTGCCGCCATCTTGCCTAAATTGAAGGATTTGTAGTTTTTAAATAATCTGGGAATTATCTCGATGTTTGTTTTTTTATGACTGACGGATCGTTGATACGTATGAGATCGATAATTTTTTCATTCTACTGCTTTTGGCTTATACCTTTACATCTGCTGAATTCAAGTTGCCATTCTGCTTGCACTTTATACAAAGTGTGTTGCTAATTGAAACCTCATTACCATTTCATTTGCCACCTTGTCCTGAAAATAATTCCATCTCTTGTTTTCGTCATGTATCTCTGTTTTCGTGTTTTTTTTCCTTCAATTTGTTCGATTTCGGTGAATGAAATGGTCTAGTCTGGTAGCTACTTGCCTGTAGCAAATATTTACTGCGCTTTAAATGTCGCTCAGATGAGATGATGCCTTTAGTTGTAATCTGAAATATACTACTACGACTACTGACTACTGTGACAGCACATGAATTTTCCGAGGCTATCCTTGTTTCCCCTGCATATCGTCGGCTCTTTATTCACGTTCATTACCAAATTTTTCTATTGCGCTGGACTTTGAGCTGTGTGTGTATGCTTACTTTTACGTCGTCTCACACACACGTGTGCACGTTCGTAAAGCTTCACTCAATCACGCTCTCGTTGTTCAACTTGCAAAAGGCAGCTCATGTGGATGGCAAGTTTTGCACTCTTGGTGTGCCTAAAACAATCGTCTTTGTGAATTTCAGATTTGAGTTATAAAGTGGGGTGGTGGTGGAGGAGGGGACGGGGGAGTACTTAATTTCTGATTGAGTTTTCTTTGTTTACTCATGTATCATGCAGTTCTCTCGTCGCGTCTGACTTTCTATTGGTCATCCAGTAACGTCATTCACGCTCCACATTCGCATCCTATTTGTCGATTTCATTTGTAATCTCAAAGCAAATAGTCTCTCTGCACGTCAGGTTTGGCTTGCAAACACGTAGAAAAAGGTTACGTGCTTGATGGGGCACTTGAGACAGTGGCAGATACCACGATATGTGCGCTTGATGTCTGGGTCAACCGTCTAATTGGGAAAAAAATGAGTACGTGTTGATAATTATTCTCCAGGGTAAGAAAGTTGTGAGGCCGTGATAATTCCAAATTTACTTTGTGCTATTATGGGAGTGATTAATTTCCTCTTTGAGAAGTTGAATTCCGATCATTATTAAATCTCCGACTTGATTTGAATTCATCGTCACCGATGCATCGATATAGAAACCTTAATGCTTCGTTCCGCGCCTTGTCTTAATTATAGTTTAGTTGAAGAGATGAACAGACTTCTCATTTCGATTCCCTGAATTTGTGAATGCTGGGACTTCTTTTCTCCTGTAAGAAGTACAGCTCCTCGTAGCATTGTGCTTATCTTCCTTCTAAAGGAATTTGTTACCCACACCATCATCTGGAAATTGTGCTTCATACTCATTTCACTATCCTGCACTTCTTATATGTGTTTGGGGGGGGGGGGGGGAGGTTGTACTGGTTACCATTTCAGTTTCTAAC